CCCCGGAGCCTCCACCCAAGCCGCGGCCCCGTGCCGTCTGCTGAGCCTCACCTGCTTGCTGGGCTCTGGGTGTGAGTCCGGGGACCGCAGGGAGCCTCAGAAGGTTTGGGGGGAGGAGGGTGTGGGTGGGGAGGTACGCGGGGGAGCACCATGCCACACAGGCAAAGGCAAAGAGGACCCCCGTGAGACAGCTCAGGGACGGGTTCCACGGGGAGAGGCAGGGCAGAGTGCGTCCTCCGAGAGCCCGAGTGGAGCGGACCCCCCTGCAGACCCCCGCGCTGTCACAGGAAGAGGGGGCCACACCTGTGATGTCTGAGCATCTGCAAGGGCTTTCAAGGCTCTGGGCACGGAGATAAAAGGGAACAAAAACCTCGCCAACAGCGGCTGCAAACAGCCAGGGGCAGGCGCTGGGCATGGCGGCTACACCAGCTGGGATGCTGGCGTCCCCCACTGCAGGGCCTGGGCTCCTGTTCCCGCTCTGCTTCCTGCCAAGGTGCACCCTGGGAGGCAGCAGGGATGGCGCCAAGTGCTTGGGAGACCAGGATAGAAATCCTGGCTCCTGGCTGGTCCAGTTCACCCAAGTGGGGAGTGAACCAGCAGATGGAAGATCTCCGTCTCTCTGCCTTTCTTATAAATAAATAAATAGATCGATAGATTCATCTTTAAAAAGATGAGCCGAGAACGACAGAGCACGTGTTTGGGATGTGGAGGGGTGATCAGCTGGAGCACTTCCGGCATCAAGGGCTCGGCAGAGGCGAGGACTGGGGACTGCAGGCGGCCACGTGGGCTTGTGACGGTTTGGATGTTAACTGTCCCGAGAGCCTGAGCCTCGGAGCCTTACGTTAAGGAATCAGGACCGAGTTCAAGCTGGTTGTGACGTCTGAGGAGGGGGCTTTGGGGAGTGGGTGCAGCTCCTGTGATGGAACCGCGGTGGCTTTATCAGGAGAGCCACAGGCACAGGATGCGCGTGCTGGTGGCCGCCGTGAGATCTGCCGTCCGCCAGACCAGCGGGGCTGCCGAGCCTGGCCGTGACCTCCGAGCCGGGGCCGTAGCAAGCCTCCCTTTGCAGTAGCAGCTTTGGTAGAAGCGGCCTGATGCACAGCTGTGTCACGGGTATCAGAGACAAGCGAGGGCTGGGCCTGTGGCGTTGGCGGGGGCGGGGGGGGGGACACCTGCGCTCGTCGTCCCAGGGCCTGGCTCTCACGCCCAGCTCCGGCTCTGGCTCCGGCTTCCTGCTAACACCAGCCCCGGGAGGCAGCAGGCGGTGGCTCAGGTGATTGGGCCCCTGCCACACATGTGGGAGACCTGGATTGTGTTCCTGGCTCCGGTTTGACCTGGCCCAGCCCTGGCCATTGCAGACCTTCGGGGAGGCTTCCTGGAGCTGCCCCCGGCCCCCGGGGCCGGAAGAGGAAGGAAACTCGGGAAGACGGGGAAGGGAGGCAGCCAGCAGGGGGCGCCCTGTGGCCCTGTGAAGCCGGAACCTGGTACAGGAAACTGTGGGGCCCCCTCAGCGGCTGCTCCCCCAGGTGGAGTCGCGTCCCAGGCTCAGACTGGACAGGATGTGCAAGAAGGGGTCAGAGTCCAAGGACATGGGCCGGGCACCCAGAGTATGCCCACGTCTACGGAGAAACTCCTGGGCAAGTGCTAATATTGTTGCCATTCCCAGAGAAGGTAAGTCGGCCCACGGCAGAGCTGGTTTCAAGGCCAGGCTGGGAGGGGCTGTCCTGGGAGGTGACGAGCGCCCGTCAGTGGAGGCATTCAAGCCAGGGACCTGGTGACAATGACGACATTGCTGAATGGGCATCTTGTCCTGGAGACGGCGACCAAGAGACGGCTCAGGGACTTCCAAGGTGCAGTCTGGGATCTTAGGAGCAGGTGACACTGGGCTCCGAGGGCGTGGGGTCTGACCACACAAGACGCCCTGAGCCTCACCCCGAGACCTTGGCTCCACCTCCCCTTCCCGGGAACCCTGACCTGTGCGTCTCCCTTATCTGTGAGTCACACGTATGCACAGCCCCCGGGCTGAGGCTGGAAGATTAGTGGATCCCTGTGAGCCAAGCAAAGTACAAAGAGCTGGTCTCCCAACAAGATAGGAGACCGCCGCACGTGGAGTGACCACGTCTGACCCCAAGCCTCAGAAGGACTCCCGTGACGAGGCCGGGCAGGGAGAGGCTGCAGCTGTCGGAGTGTGGCGCCACGGTCACGTGACCCCACAGTGCGGCCCAATCAGCAGCACTGAGCGAGCAGTGGCTAGAAGTGCTTACAAGGTGTGGCACTGAGCACCGTGGAGCGCTTTGGCCTCCCAGGTAGTAGAGGAGGGGTGGGGACGCCGTTCCCCTGCCGCTGTCCAGGAGAGGAACCCAGGGGACCGTGGGCTGGTGTGGGTGCTGATGTCCCTGGCTAAGGGGGCGGAGTGCAGCTCTCCTGGTTCTCAGGGCCACGCCTTCTCCCCAGCAGGTGCACGGGGACCCAGAGACAGTGTGGGTTACCAGTGTGAATTCTTTTTAAAAAAAGATTATTTATTTATTTGAAAGTCAGAGTTACAGGTTGAGAGGGAGACACAGGGAGAGCGCTTCCATCTGCTAGTTCACGCCCCAGATGGCTACAACAGCCAGGCACCTCTTCCGGGTCTCCCATGTGGGTGCAGGGGCCCATGCACTTGGGCCGTCGTCTGCTGCATTAGCAGGAAGCTAGATTGGAAGCGGAGCCCTGGGACTTGAAGCAGGACTCCGATACGGGATGCCAGTGTCACAGGCGGTGGTTTAACCCGCTGCGGCACAACACCGGCCCCAGACACCTCCTTTCAGCACTGCATCATTGCTGTGGTCCACATCGTGGGTGTCCGTTTCTGAACTTTGCGTTGTGCTTCATTGCATCAACACCACATTGTTCTGAACACCGTAGCCTTACAATGAGTCGTGATGTCAGGTAATATTCGTCCCCCATTCCTGGATTCTATTTGCCAAAGTTTGCCCAATTTTTAAAAAAGATTTATATTTATTTATTTGAAGGGGAGAGTGAAGAGAAACAGAGAAGAAGAGAGAGATCTTCCATCCACTGGCTCACTCCCCAAATGGTTGCAAAGGTTGGAACTGGTCCAAGACAAAGCCAGGAATCCAGAGTTTCATCTGGGTCTCCCATGTGGATGCAGGGGCCCGAGGACATGGCCCGCCTTCCACTGCCTTCCAGGCACATTGGCGGGGAGCTGGATCAGAAGCAGAGCAGCCTGGCCTCAAGGCAGCGCCCAGACGCGATGCCAATGTCACAGGCGACAGCTCGCTGAGCCGCAACGCCAGCCCCTTGGCTAATTATTGTCGTATCTATGTCCACAGAAGGCACTGATCTGGAGTTTTCTTATGTTTTCGATCTGGTTTAGGTATCAGAGTAATGTTGACGTCAAAGAATGAACTGAGAAGTATTCTTTCCTCTTCAATTTTCTGGAAGAATTTGGGTCAAATTAATATGATTTCTTCTTTAAATGTTTCGTGGAATTCACCAGTGAAGCCATTTGGATGTGGCATTTTCTTCTCTTGGGGGAAGGTTTCTAAACCACAAATTCAGCTTCTTTCATTGATTTAGGGTAATTCAAAAAGTTCATGGAAAATTTTAGTTTGATGTAAAACACTGTTAAAACTGTGCATACACGGGGGCCTTCAAAACATTCAGAGAAAATGCAGACAATGAAAAACCAGTGCAAATAGTGAAAAATGCCCGTAATGAAAACACAGTGCGGGGATTTCAAGAATTTTCTGCACCAAAATAAGCTTAACTTTCAAATCCGAACTCCAGCAACTTTGTGAGGTCGCCTGTGTCTCTTCAGTACGGCGACTCCTTCATGGGATTGCCCCTTTTGGCCAAGTTGTCAAATGTATTGGCCTAGAATTGTTCGTGACGCCCCTCATTCCACTGGGGAGAAGCCCGCCAGCCCGCCCAAGTCCGGGCTCCACTTCCTACTCACGCCTGTACGGAGGCCTCAGGCCATGTTCTGTTGGGCCTCGGAGGGCAGCAGCTGTGTTGGATGACCAGGTTCACGCCTGCACCCCTCCGCTGGTGGCTTTTTCGCCCGGGCCCAGGACCGTGAGGCCGGGGCTCCCACCCCCTTTCCAGCAGGCCCAACTGGAGACCCTTGAAGGGTATGAGCCCCACAGGGAGGAAGCCTCACTCTGGGGGAGCCATAGGTGTGCTCCTGGAATTCCTGGGGGTACCTGGGCTCCTTCAGTCACGTGACGTGCTGAAGCCACACCCTGGGCTCCTACAGGTCCGATCCCGGGTCCAGGGTTGTGTGCACAGGCAGAGAGCTGCCTGGGGGTCTCACCGGTCAAGTGCATTTTAACAGGAACCGTGAACATAACCCCCGATATGGTAAAATGCTTCCCAACTTATCAAGCGTCTCCACCTGCTGTATTGGCCTCGGTGCAGGGACATGGAAAGGGAAGCTAAGAGAGGTCACGCGGAGTCCTGGCCTGCAAGAGGTGAGACGGCTGTGGCCGAGAGAGCGAGCTGGCGATGGCTCGAAGCTGCTGCTGCAAATCCTTTAAGCTTCTCGGTTCAAAAGCTGCAGGCTGATGGCCTGGCCCCTGCCAGGGTGGGCCAAGGCTGGCAGGATGGGAGGATGTGCAGAGGGGAAGCTTCCAGAAGGAGGCCTGGAGTCTGGGCGCAGGGACCGGGTGCAGAATTAGACAGTGAGACAGAGAGACAGAGAGAAAGGTCTTCCTTCCGTTGGTTCACCCTCCAATGGCAGCTCCGCTACAGCTGGAGCTGTGCCGATCCGAAGCCAGGAGCCAGGTGCTTCCTCCTGGTCTCCCATGCGGGTGCAGGGCCCAAGCACTTGGGCCATCCTCCACTGCCTTCCCGGGCCACAGCAGAGAGCTGGACTGGAAGAGGGGCAACCAGGACAGAACCGGTGCCCTGACTGGGACTAGAACCTGGGGTGCCGGCGCCGCAGGCGGAGGATTAGCCTAGTGAGCCACGGCACCGGCCAAGGACCAGGTGCAGAAGCTTTAAAAGGAAGTTCCCTTCCCAGCAGTGCAGGGCCCAGGAGGCTCCGCCCTGGCGACGTCTTCCTTCTCCGGGATCTCCACCCCGTTCCTCCGGGCGAAGACGCGGTTTATCTGCACGAACGTCTGCCCCTTGGTCTCAGGGATGACCACGTAGATGTAAATGGCGGTGAGGAGGCAGACGCCCGCAAAGACGATGAAACTGTAGGCTCCGATGGCCTCCTGGACCGAGAGACGAAGAGAGCGGGAGGCCGTGGGGCGGGCCCTGGCAGGGACAGTCCTGTGGGTGCCCAGGGGCTTTGTGGTGGCCAGTCTTGTTCTGCTCTTGGGCCAGTGACAGCCAGAAAACTGGATCCTGCCCTTACAGGCATCCTTGGCCTTTAGCCACAGACCTCCCGGCCTTCACGTCCTTGGTGTGTTGAGAGCCAGAAGGGCAGGGGTTGGGGGGTTGTGTCCCCTCGCCCCGGCTCCAGCAGGCTCTCTATTACCCTTGAACGCCGCAGGCCAGAGCCCTGGCCTTACGGGGTGGGTGGGGGAGCCCCCGCGTCACGGCACAGCGTCTCGGGCATGGCTAGTGTTCCGTACAGGAGGGTTGGCATTGGCTATCTCAGCGCCCATCAGGGAGGCCCAGGGATGGGGGCGCCCGGGGCCCTGGCTCACTCACCTGCACAGACGGGAACACGAAGCCTATGACGAAGTTGGTGAGCCAGTGCACCGTCCCATCCACTACGAAGGCAGCTGGCCGGGAGGACTGCAGGAAGATCTCTGTCCTCACCACCGAGGGCACGGGGCCTGGGCCGAGGGAGGGGGGCGAGAAGTGTGCAGGGGGCCTGGCTGGGCCCGGCCCCCGACCCTGTGGGAGCCTCTGCTGGGATCAGGGGCCAGAAAGGCCCCCACCCCTGCCCTGCAAAACTAGGTCACAATTGGGCCAGGAGCCACAGAGGTCTGCTTTGCAAAACCCAGGTCGGGAGCCTGGAGTTGAATCCCCATGCACGGGAAGTGCGGAAGCAAAGCAGAGAGGAGGAAGGCAAGGCAGCAGTGAGGACTCGGTCCATGCAGGGAGTGGACCTTCCCCTCCCAGATGCCCCCAGGGTGTCACCCCCTTCCTCTGTGTTGGGGTCACCCTGAACTTCTAGAGGGTTGAGGCCGGCTCAGCGAGTTCCTGGGCTTGGGCAGTGCTGCCCTCCTGTGGTAGGTCTGGGAATGGCAGCCCCCAGTGCTGCCCGTCTCCTTGGGTTCGTCTCTTTGTCAACAGTTTTTCATGATCACCCCCCCAAGGAGCTTTCCCTAAAGCGTCCAAAGCCAGTTTCCCACAATTGCCACCCCCATGAAATCTTAGTGCCACAGCTATCCTGTACATCTGTCTGTCTTGCATCCAGCTCAGGGGCTTTATACAGAGACCCCCCTGCCGCTCCCCCACTCCCAGGGACTCTGCCCCGCTGGACATGCACAGCAGATGGGGAGAGGGATTCAAAGCCGCAGGATGAAGCTGCTCTTGGCACTCAAAAGGGTGGAACTCCCGCACCCCAGGGGAAAGGAGGCTGCTGGTGAGGGAGTTACTGCCCTGCCTCCTGCTTCCCAGGAGACCAGGCTCAAATGTCACATCCGCCCACGGGGGATCTGCCAGCTCAGCTGATCACCTGTGTGCTTCATGCAGGCAGCCTGGCCCGAGGGAGGACAGTGGCCACTCCTGGGACACACAGGCGGGGATGGGGGGCGGATGGACTGCCGGGCACCCAGGCCTCCTACACACATCCACACAGCGTCTCAGGACCCAGAGGCATCTGCCCCAGGCAGCGAGACCAAGTGTGGAGCCTCAGGAGTGGACTGGAGTGAACTGGAGTGGCCGCCGTGGAAGTGGTGACGGGCGGGGGTCTTCAGGACGGGTGAGGTCTGCACAGGCGGGGAGGGTGGGGTATCGGGAATACTGTGGACACGGGCCTCACGGACTCCACTCACTTCATAGGTACTTGTTGTGCACCTGCTATGTGCAGGGCCCTACAGGGCTGGTGGAGGCGGGGCGGGGGCCAGGCAGTACTCACTGGGCCCGATGGAGTGTCCCGCGATGTAGGCAAAGACGCAGAGCACACCCAGGTAAGACAGCCCAGCGACCTTGCTCTGTGGGGAGAGGGCGGTCAGAACAAGGCCCCACCCCCAGCCTGCTCCTCTGCAGGCTTCTGGAAGCCTTGGCTGTTTTCAAGTGGGGGGCTCAGGCGCGTCTTTCTCTTGTTTTCCCGTCGGCCACCCCTCTCTGCACTCCACAGGCGTGAGCCACTGGGTGTCCACACATCCCTCTGAGCAAGGTCGGTGCCGTCTGTCCTACCATTGTGAGCCCAGAGTACAGGCAGGGACCCCGCGGGGACCAAGCACTGGCCCACGTCACTCAGTCGAGGGCAAGGCCTTGGGGTCCTGGCTCCCTCAGCCGGGTCCTCAGATGTCACTCAGATGCCCCCAAGCTCACTGCCAGGGACCAAGGCTGCAGGGGAGGGCGGGCAGCAGACAGGGTGGTGGGCAGGCGACCAGAACCCACAAGTATGGGACAGAGACGGCTGGGGGAGCGGCAGGAGGCCGGGTCCATTTCAATGCCTCGTGCAAAGGAGGACATGGCCAGGTGGATGGGGCAGCCGGTATCAGCACCAAGCGGGAGGAGATTTTCCACGGAGTCCACAGGACGAGAGGAAGAGAAGGGCCACCAAGTAGGCCACGGAGGTTTGTGGAACGCAGCGACAGGGATCTCGGTGGCAATGTCTTCGCTTCCGGTCTCTCTTGCCTCCAGACCGGAAATGTTCTTGTGAGCAGGCACTTGGCCCAGTGGTCCAGGGGGGACTTGGGACGCCCACATCTTTTATCACAGCCCTGGTTCGAGTCCCGGCTCTGCTTCCTGGCATCCTGGGAGGCAGCAAGTGATGGCCCAAGTACTTAGGGCCCTGCCACCCTCGTGGGAGACCAGGGTCGAGTTCTTGGCTCCTGACTTCAGCCTGGCCCAGCCTTGGCTGTTGCAGGCATTTGGGAGATGAACCGTCAGACAGAGGATCTCTCTGTCTCTGTCTCTCTTTCAAATAAAAATTAATTAAAGCTTGGAAGAGAAGGGAAAAAGCAAAGACCTTGTCTTCAAGTTATGGGAGAACGTCTTCACACGTCCTTGTACCAGGCTGGGTCACATTTCCAGTTGCACACTTTTCATTTGGAAGGGCTTCAGGACAGGGTGCAATAACCTGGCCAGCAACAAGGACAGAGAGGAACCCAGGAGACACAAGCTGAGTGCGTGGAAACATTGTATCGTGCTGCCCTGGGTTAGGCTGTGCTTGCAACATCAGCAGCCCACCTTGGATCCCCAGTTCCAGTCCAGTCCTGGCTGCTCCACTTCCAAGCCAGCTCCCCCTTAACGCTAGCGCACCTGAGAGGCAGTGGATGATGGCCCGAGTACTTGGGTCCTTACCATCCATGTGGGAGACCCTGGCTCCTGGCTTTGGCCTGGCCCAGCCCTGGCTGCTACAGCCAGTTGGGGAGTGAACCAATGGATGGACAATCCTTTTCTCTCTGTGTTTCTGTCTGTCTCTTCTTCTTTGTCACTCTGCCTTTCAAATAATTAAATAAATAAGTACATCTTCAAAAAATAATTTAAAAAGCAAAAGCACTTCATATTACGGCCATCATGTGTGCTTTTGTAACTCCTGCAGATCACAGAGTGGATACGAGAGTGGAGGAGAACTTGAACAGCGCAGGCTTTGCTGGGGGCCGTGGACGAGAACCTGAATGGTACAGGCTTTGCTGGGGCTGTTGTGCTGAGAGTGGACGAGAACTTGAACGGCGCAGGCTTTGCTGGGCCGTTGTGCTGAGAGTGGACGAGAACTTGAACGGCGCAGGCTTTGCTGGGGGCCGTGGACGAGAACCTGAATGGTACAGGCTTTGCTGGGGCTGTTGTGCTGAGAGTGGACGAGAACTTGAACGGCGCAGGCTTTGCTGGGGGCCGTGGACGAGAACTTGAACAGCACAGGCTTTGCTGGGCCGTTGTGCTGAAGTTCACGGGCAGTTTTCATTCCTGCTTCCTTCACGGGCTCTGCTGTTGCCCATCCTTCCCCACTGGGTCTCCATCTGGCTTCCTGCCGCTCCCCCAGCCGTCTCTGTCCCATACTTGTGGGTTCTGGTAGCCCGCCCACCACCCTGTCTGCTGTCCGCCCTCCCCTGCAGCCTTGGTCCCTGGCAGTGAGCTTGGGGGCATCTGAGTGACGTCTGAGGACCCGGCTGAGGGAGCCAGGACCCCAAGGCTTTCCTGTTGCAGGCTGACCGGGTCCAGCAGGTGCTCCGCCCACTCCATCCTGGAGCCCACGGAGCGTGTGGAGCCTCACGCCTGGCTCACTCCCTCCGTTGCAGCCTCCTGTGTGTCCCCGTCCCTACTGCAGCAGACGCTGTGTGGCCGATCTCCACGTGTGGTCTGCCACCCACACGGACCTCGGATCCCGGTTTCTTCCACTTCTAGAGGGGACGATTTCCAAGTCCCCTTCTTGGGTCCTCATTGGTTCATCCTTGATGGTGTGTGGTCTCACACTTGTGCCCAAGCCGGTGTTGCCTCACCACAGGCCAGGGGTGCCACCCAGAGCCAGGGCCCCTGTAGGGAAGCCCTCTCCCTGCATTTTGTCCCCCCACTGCCACCTTGCCCTCCCCGGCCAGGAGAGTGGGGTCAGACCTGAAACAGGAGCGCCACGGTCAGCACCAGGCAGGCACAGCCGCAGAGGCCGTAGCCCACCAACAGGAGGAGCCGCCTTCCCAGCCGCTCCACGGCCACTGCCTGCAGGGGAAGCCAGCCGTGAGGAGCAGGGATAGCACCGGGGGTGCCCTGCAGCCCCCACGCCCCTCACGGTCCGCGGTCCCCTGCTGCCACCCGGGGGCTCCCACCACCCCTCAGTTACCTCCCCGCTGTAGTGGCCACCTTTGCTCTCGCATCTCGGGGCCTGGCTGGCCCTGGGGTGCTGCCCCCGACAGTTGCCCGATCCCACGAGCCCCAGCCATAGTGTCCCAGGAAGCCATTTCACACGCAGCCCACCCTGACCAGGTGGGCTCTCCCACTCTGGGCTGCTGTCCGCCTGCCCTGTTCCCTGGTCAGCCCACCGAGATGCTCCACCCTGGCAGTCCCCAGCCTGCCTCCCCTGCCTCGCCTGTTCCTTCCCACAGAAACCACAAGCTCTCTTGCCTACGTTTCCCTGTCGCCTCCGGCCCCATGATTGACCCTGGGGCGGCCCCCCGGCCCCCGGCACCCCCGTGGCGTGGCATGTCCTGCTGGACCCCTCCTCCTGGGAACTGGGAGCAGCCAACCTTTCAACACCAGGCGCCTCCTGATCTGGTGGCCTCACCACACCCAAACAATGATAGAACCTTGATTAAAAACAGTTCCCCCTCCACGCCCTGGTGCTCCGGCCAACCGGACTTGGGACTCGCGTCTCCAGGGTCCCTCCCCGGCCCTGTCCACTCTGTGGACATGCACTTCTCAGCCAGCTCCTCCTCCACGCTCGGTCCCTGCTGCTCCTTCTGCTCGGTTCCTTCCTCTTGCACTTTGAATAAGGCGTCTCGCCCATGCTCATGGCAGCTCCGCACCAGGCCCTGCACGGTCCCCCGAGTCCCGCTACCTCCGCCCTCCCAACAGCCCAGGCAGGGTCACCACTGCCGTGCAGCCAGGGCCAGGCAGCAGCATGACTGACGGCCATGCCTGTCTTGTACCCAGGGTCAAGTTTATCCTGCATGCCTGTACCCGGATATTGTTCCTCCGGGGAGGATGGTGGAGAGGGAGGTCCTAGACCTGCTCCTTTATCCTGGAGGAGGCTCCGAGGAGGCGGGACCCTGCCCCCTCCCAGAAAGAAAGGGGAGGGGCCAAGGGAAGCCAGTGGGAGGAAAGTCTTCAGCGTTGGGCCTGGGGACCTCCCTCAGTTCTCCATCACCCTGACCCTTTCCCCCTTAACCCTCCCCTCCCTGCCACTCTGAATCCCCTGGGAGCTGGTCAGGACTTAGCCCGGCTCTGGGGAAAATACAAAGAAGCAATAAATAACCTCCGAAAAATTTCAGCCGATGGAAGCAACTCAACAAATGAAAATGGAGATGACCAGGGGGTAACTCATCAGCTCATCTTTTTTTTTTTTTTTTTTGCCAGGCAGAGTTAGAGAAAGAGAGAGAAAGGTCTTCCTTCCATTGGTTCACCCCCAAAATGGCTGCTACAGCCAGCGCTGTGCCAATCCGAAGCCAGGAGCCAGGTGCTTCCTCCTGGTCTCCAATGGGGTGCAGGGCCCAAGCACTTGGGCCATCCTCCACTGCACTCCTGGGCCACAGCAGAGAGCTGGACTGGAAGAGGAGCAACCGGGACAGAATCTGGCGCCCCAACTGGGACTAGAACCCGAGGTGCCAGCACCATAGGCAGAGGATTAGCCTAGTGAACCACGGTGCCGGCCAGCTCATCTTTCTAACACAGCACTTAGATCAAGGCACCTGGGGCTCGGATTTTAAATCCTGAACCCCGAAGTGACAATATGGCAACAACATTCACTACATCAGAAGACCAGGAACGCAAGTGCCACCAGCATTTCACAAAGACACTTGCATCTGAGGTTCCTGGAGTCACCTGGTGGGGTTCACACAGGTAGCAAGTATGTGACCCCAGGAGCGGGGCCACAGCACTCAGCTGACCCCGTGGGGCTCCTGTCTGCCCAGGAAGGATGCGTCTCAGGCACTCACGGAGATGACGGTCATCACGATGTTGACCACGCCGGCCCCCACCGTCACGTACTGGGAGTGAGTAGCCGCCACTCCGGCTGACGTGTAGATGGTGTCCGCGTAGTAGTTGATCTAAAACACAGACGCGGTGTGTGAGGGAGGCCGAGGACCCAGGCTGCTGGCTTCCCTCTGTGCCCGGGATGCGGACCCTGGGACGGAAGGTGGTGATGGGGTCGGGACACCAGGAGCTGGACCACCGACCGCTCCAATGTGTTCCCCTCTGCCACCTGGGACTGCGAGCTCAGAGCCACATCCTTCCCTGTCACCGTGGCCAAGGCGGCCCCTGCTCAGCTGGCGTCTGGCCCGCGCCCGCCCTTGGTGACACAGGCAGCACTTCCAAAGGCCACGTGTGCTGGTCCCGATTGGTGGCTGCCACCAGGGCTGTCAGCCCTTCAGGGGCCCCTGTTGAACATCCACAAATCGGGGGTGTGGGCCTTTAGCCTCGAAGTTAGGACACCCATGTCCAGTACCGCAGGGCCATGGATTGATTCCTGGCTCTGGCTTCCGATTCCAGCTTCCAGACCCTGCGAGGCAGCAGCAAAGTCGCAAGTGATTGGGCTCCTGTCGCTGACATGGGCGACCTGGCTCCCGGCTTCAGCTGTTGCAGGCATTTGGGGAGGGGGGCAGGTAGGAATAGAGACTGGGAGCTCTGTCTGTCTAGTTATCTGCCTGTTTCTGTCTGCCTCTCAAATAAATAAAAAATTAAAAACAAACCCATGAATCCTGGAAGACCCAGAGCACCTCTTCCTGACACCGCCCTGAATGTCAACACCGAGGTTTCTGGAAGCAACCTCCGGATTTTGTAGGTCTCTGCCCTCCACGCCCCCCTCCCAGAAGATACGGTCAGAGAAAAGGGGCCATGTTCTAGCGGGCAATGGCACAGCATCGGGGCCAGGTGAAGCCCTGGGCTCCTGGCCCAGGTGGGATCAACCAACCGCCTTCCCCAGGAGCCCCAGTGTCCGCCTGGTGCTGCCGGCCCCGTGCACAGAGGAAAGAGCTTGGCAGGAGAGGTTTCTCTGTGGCGCCTGGGAAGCCCAGGACAGGCAGAGTGGCTGAGGGGGAGGCGGAGCTGGGAGGCAGCCTCTGACTCCCCCCAAGACTGGCCTGCTGGAGGCGGAGCTGTCTGTCTCAGTGAGAAAGGTGGGCCTCTGGGAAGCTGTTTCCTGGGCAGTCCCGGGTTAGCAGAGAAGCCCCTGAGAGACAAGGGGCCTCTGCTCCTCCCAGCCTCTCCCAGTCCCGCGTCTGGGACACGCACACCCCTGAGGCTCCCCGGGGCGCCTGGCTGGGCCCATGCCTGCTGGCGTACCGCATTGATCCCGGACAGCTGCTGGCCCGCCATGAGCACGATGATGGAGACCAGCTGCCAGCGCAGGGGCCGGAAGGTGAACAGGTTGAGCACCGACAGGTGCCCCTCGGCGCGCTCGGCTCGCTCCTCCTCCCGCATGTCGTCCAGCTCGGCTTCCACGTTGGCCGCATGGCCTCTCAGCCTCCGCAGAGCTGTGCGACAGAGGGTCACCCAGGGTGGCCGGCTCACCGCCACTATGAGCTGTCCCCCTGCTCACCGCCAGTGTCCTCTGACTTCACCCTCAATGTCCCCGGCTCACCGCCACTGTCCCAAAGATTTCAGGATGCAAGGGACGGCTCCCCGTGACGTAGCCTGCTCCACACTCACCAGATCTCCACTGTTCGACCCTAGCCAGGTCCCCAGCACCAGGGCTGTGCCCCCAGTTGCCACCCTCCCATCCCCTACCCCCCTCAATCTCTCAACTCTGATGCCCGGGACTCTGACCCTGACCTCAGTCTCAGCCAGACCTACCCACAGCTGCCCAGCCCCAGCGCGGACCCCCGGGGGGCGCCACCTGCCTTTCCAGTACCTCGCCGCGCGGTGTCCTCGTCTCCTTTCTGGATCAGGGTGTAGCGGGGGCTCTCGGGGAAGAAGGGCAGGGAGAGGAGCTGCAGCAGCGCTGGGATCCCGGTGACAGCCAGGAGCACGGGCCAGCCTGGAGGAGCCGACACCTGGAACTCGAGCCAGGACAGCCCGGGGGAGGGGGGTGTCGCTCCCCCTCTTCACGGAGGAACGACACTAAACCCTGCCTAGGTTTCCTATCCGAGTCACGGCACCATTATGCTGCTCCCCCTCTTCGTGGAGGAACGACACAGGACCCTGCGCTGTTCTTTCATCTGCTCGGCCCTCCCCAGGTTTGCTACCGACCCTTCCACCTCCGTGGAAGGGCGGTTCCCCCTGCCACTTTCCCCACTTCCGCAGGGGAGCAGCACACCGCCAGCCGGCTCTCTCGGGGGCTACTCAGATGTTCCTCAGGTGTTCCTGGTGCATGTTGTCTCTCTCCTCCTTTATAGTCCTCTTCCACCAATCCCAACTCTGCTACCCACACGCCGAGCACGCTGCTCTCCTCCAATCAGGAGCAAGTCCTACAGTTTATTGGTTGAACTGGAGGCAGCTGTGTAGAAGCTGTTTACTCCTCTCCCAGCGCCATATTGTGGGAGAGCAGATGCATAGAATAAATCTTAATTCCAGTAACAGTCTAGTCCGAGTTGCTCCCCACAGAGGGAGTCTCTGTGCACCTCGGCTGGCGTCACAGTCCGACCTCTCCTCTGAGAAGGTCGCCTGCCCATGGTGTCCCCACCCTTCGCGGTCCTTCCAGAAGGCCTGGGAGTGACAGGGTTACATCAGCACCTCCCGCCCCTCTAACTACGATGTGAACGGGCAGCTTATCAACCTCTCCAGGCCTTGTGGGAAATGCTTGTCAGGCTGAAACTGTGCATGGATTTCAAAGTTTTTGCACAAAATTTTTTAAAATTCCATTTTTCATGAACTTTTTGAAATGCCCGCGTAGAGACGATAACACTGCTGAGAGAGCATCGGCTGAGGAGGGAGCAGGAGGGGGCAGGAGCCCACGCACAGGGGCTTCCCTCCAAAACGGGTGTCCGACCCCCTGGGGGAAGCCTGTCCTGGGGAGGGGTTTACCCCCAAGCCCACGGGCATCCTGACCCTGAATGATCTTTGCCAGACCACCCACGGGCTTACGAGTGTCTAAGTCCCTTCAAGCTACTGTGTGGAGCACAGCGACTTGGATCCACCCAGGAAGCAGTTGGTGTGGAATCCGCGGCACTGGCAAATGTCTGTGAAAACCCCGCTGTGTTCACGGGGCCTTTGCTGCCGGCCCACGTTTATTCGCCTGCCACACCGATGACTGTCACACGTCCTTCCCAGCTTGGAGCAAAACCTCTCCTCTCGACCCCCCTCCCCTCCCAGCCTCCCCTGAGCGGCCCGCTGGACACGTGGGGTACAGGTGGGCGAGCAGCCAGGCCCCCAGCCCCCGGCTCCCCTGTCACCTGCCGCGTTGCCCAGGATGGCCTGGAGGCTGAAGACCTGCGCCAGGAAGACGCCGAAGATGACGAACACCTCTGTCATGGTGCCCAGGGCACCTCGCAGCTGCTTGGGAGCCAGTTCTCCCAGGTACATGGGGAGAGCACTGTAGGAGATGCCTGCGGGGCAAAGCAGAAACCAGGCCGCCGCCCAGGACCCCGGTGCCCGGGGTTAACTCATTTCCATTCCCTATGACCCTGTTTCTGCTAGGCTGGGCCACTCCTAGCAGGGAGGTGTCACTATGTCCCTGGGATTTGGAGAGCTCTGGGCTTTGGTTTATTTCCTGATGTTTCCAGGGCTTGTTTACTTGTATACCTCTTTTTTTTTTTATTTTTAAGATCTATTTATTTTACTTGATAGGCAGAGTGACAGAGAGAGAGAGGGAGAGACAGAGAGGCAGAGAGATCTTCCATCTGCTGGTTCACTTTCCGAACAGCTGCAACAGCTGGGGCTGGATCAGACCAAGGCCAGGAGCCTGGAACTCCATCTGAGTCTCCCACGTGGGTGGCAGGGCCATCAGCTGCTGCTTTCCCAGGCGCATACGCAGGGAGCTGGATCAGAAGTGGAGCAGCCCAGACTCGAGGTGGAGCTCCAAGATGGGATGCTGGCATTGCAAATGGAGGCTTAACTCACTGCTCCATGACACTGCCCTCCCAGCTCTGCCGTTTAATACGAGAAACCATTGCAGCTGAGAAATCTCCCTCTCTGCTGACCGAGACCTCGGGTTCTCTGTTCCTTTCTCCAGAGCCCCCATCCTCAGTCCAGACTTCCCCTCCGGGGCCAGCGCTGTGGTGCCGCGGGTGAAGCCGCTGTCTGTGGTGCCCGCATCCCATATGGGCACCGGTCCAAGTCGTGGCTGCTCCACTTCCAATCCAGCTCCCTACAAATGTGCCTGGGAAGGCAGTGGATGATGGTCCAAGTGTTTGGGCCCCTGAACCCATGTGGGAGACCTGGAAGAAGCTCCTGGCTCCTGGCTTCGGATCAGCCTAGCTCTGGCCATTGTGGCCATTTGGGGAGTGAACCAGTGGATGGAAGACCTCTCTCTCTGTCTCTCCCCCCACCTCTCTCTGTGAAACTCTGCTCCTTTTAAATAAATAAATATATATATATATTTTAAAAAAAACCAACTGTCTGTCCTCCTCATAAACTGCCTTGTAAAATCTCACCAGCTCCTTGTATTTCAAGGCAAAGCTGTGTTTCTGGGTTGAGTCTTTGGGGCATCCTCCGCAGCTTTCTCAAGCGCATTAACAGGGAACTGGATCAGTAGTGGAGCAGCTGGGACTTGAACTGGCGCCCCTATGGAATGCTGGTGCTGCAGGCAGGGCAGGGGGCTTTAACCTGCTGCACCACAGAGCCAGCCCCAGCAAGGGTATGTTTCTAAAGATCCCTCTCCAGTATAAGATTTTGTTAAACAATGGGAAAGAGCCAGGAAACATGAGGTTTGTAAGGGCGTTGGGCCAGAGACAGTAGGCTGCCCCCAGAAAAGAGGCCGTCAGAAGCGGCAAAGACCCCTCGCCTGCCCGTTTTTCCACCTTGGCCACGGGGCTGGGCACGCCTGTCTGAGACCTTCCCCTGGTGGACCCGAGCCGGGGCCAGGCTGCCAGCTGTGTCTCCGGTACCTGCACAGACTCCCAGCAGCACTCGAGAGAAGATGATCAGCTCAAACGCCCGGGCCACTTTGCTCACACCCATCAGGATGGCGGGGACGATGGCGAAGATGTTGTTGATTAGCAGTGTCCCCCTCCTGCAAGCACAGCGGAGCCAAGGGCAGCAGTGCAGGCGGCACCGAGGCCTCTTCTCCGGGCGGGCGCCAAAGACGGTGGGTGGGGGCTACGGATGGACGCGAAGCCCTTAGCTCTCAGTGCAAGGCGTTAGAGGGTGGGTGGTGATGACGTCAGGGGTGCCCTCAGCGGGGGTCCGTGCCTTTACAAGCAGACACACAAGCTCACTCTGCTGTCTCGCTGCCCCCAGCCCCACCTCCAGGGGCTGGCAGCTTCTACGCTTTCAGGGAGTGATAAGGCTGTCACCAGCCCCAGGATACTTGCACAAGCAGGGTGACCTCCCCACATCTTTGAGGATCCCTGGACCTGAGGGACACAGCTGTCATGATCGGCCAGGATCCACGCTGGGGGCAGAGCTGGAGTTCTCTGAAATACTCCCAGCCCAGTCCAGAAAACCAGAGACAAGCAAACTGCACTTCTTGAACTGCCTTTCTCTCCCTGGGGTGACCACACCCTGGGAGGATGCCCACTGGAGCCTGAGCAGAGGTCAGCCAGGCCGAGGCTCCCTGGGCAGCCCGCATATGCGGCCACCTCCGGCAACCCAGCCTTTCTGAGCCGGGACAGCACCGACGGCCGGCTCCACCCCTCCCGGATGGGCAGTGCTGTGGTCTCCTCTGTGAGATCTGCTCTCCGCCAGGCCTCGGTGACCGTGGACTTCAGACAAGGAAGAAGAGGCCAAGCCCAGGGTCCTGGAACAGTTTCAACACTCTTGTTGCCGCTCAGAACAACACAGACTGATCCACAAAGCGGCCTGAACAGAGGCAGATGTTTGCAGAGGGATTAGGACGCCCGTGTCCTGTATCGAGTGCTTGGGTTTTAGTCCCGGCTCCACTCCCAAATCCAGCTTCCTGCTGATGCACACCCAGGGGCCGGCAGGTGGTGGCTGAAGTACTTGGGTCCCTGCCACCATGTGGGAGACCTGGCTTGAGTTCCTGGTTTCTGGCAGTGGCCTGGTCCAGCCCCAGCTGTTGTGGGTTTTGGGGGAGTGAACCAGCAGATGGGAAATTTCTCATTTTCTCTCTCCTCACCTGCTCCACTTCAAATAGACACATATTTTTTTTTCTTTATTTATTTGACAGGCAGAGTTAGACAGTGAGAGAGAGAGAGAGACAGAGTAAAGTCTTCCTTCCATTGGTTCACGCCCCAAATGGCTGCCACGGCTGGCGCTGCACCGATCCGAAGCCAGGAGCCAGGTGCTTCCTCCTGGTCTCCCATGTGGGTGCAGGACCCAAGCACTTGGGCCATCCTCCACTGCCCTCCCAGGCCACAGCATAGAGCTGGACTGGAAGAGGAGCAACCAAGACTAGAACCCAGAGCCCAGGCGGAGGATTAATGAAGTGAGCCACGATGCTGGCCCCGACATGTTTTTTTTTTTTTTTAAAGATGTATTTATTTGTTTGAAAGTCAGAGTTACACAGAAAGAGAAAGAGAGAGAGAGAGAGAGAGAGAGAGAGGTCTTCTATCCTCTGGTTCACTCCCCAGTTGGCTGCAATGGCCAGAGCTGCGCCGATCTGAAGTCAAGAGCCAGGAGCTTCTTCCAGGTCTCCCATGTGGGTGCAGGGGCCCAAGGACTTGGGCCATCTTCTACTGCTTTCCCCAGCAGAGATCTGGATCGGAAGTGGAGCAGCCAGGACTCAAACCAGTGCCCGTATGGGATGCTAAAACTGCCGGCTGTGGCTTTACCCACTACGCCACAGTGCCGGCCCCAAATAGACAAATTTTAAAAGACATCTGAAACAGTCTGAATGATGGATACTCACATCACCATCAGTCAGGGGCATAGTGGATGGCAAGCCATTAATCAAATATTTCTAAGAAGAGGCTCTTTAACTAAAACCCACGATTTCCAACCGGCAATGTTGCTCGTGGGTATGGAAAGGGCACAGCCGTGGTTTGGGAGTCATGGTCACTAGAGGTACTCCTCCCCCCACCCACAAGCTACCTAATGTAGCTCCATCATGGCAACAGTAACTGGGCTCCGAGGGCGTGGGGTCTGATCACACAAGACGCCCCGAGCCTCACCCCGAGACCTTGGCTCCGCCTCCCCTTCCCGGGAACCCTGACCTGTGCGTCTCCCTTATCTGTGAGTCACACGTGTGCAACCCCCGGGGCTGAGGCTGGAAGATTAGTGTATCCCTGTGAGCCAAGCAAAGTACAAAGAGCTGGTCTCCCAACAAGATAGGAGACCGCCGCACGTGGAGTGACCACGTCTGACCGCAGGCCTCAGAAGCACTCCCCGTGACGAGGCCGGGCAGGGAGAGGCTGCAGCTGTTGGAGTGTGGCGCCACGGTCACGTGACCCCACAGTGCGGCCCAATCAGCAGCACTGAGCGAGCAGTGGCTAGAAGTGCTTACAAGGCGTGGCACTGAGCACCGTGGAGAGCTTTGGCCTCCCAGGAAGTAGAGGAGGGGTGGGGACGCCGTTCCCCTGCCGCTGTCCAGGAGAGGAACCCAGGGGACCGTGGGCTGGTGTGGGTGCTGATGTCCCTGGCTAAGGGGGCAGAGTGCAGCTCTCCTGGTTCTCAGGGCCACGCCTTCTCCCCAGCAAGTGCACAAGGACCCAGAATTGGTGTAGGTTACTAATGTGAATTTCAAGTGAGGGTGGCACACCCTCTGTTTACCTGCCACATTTATCCACCAGCCGGCCAACAAGCCACGACCCCAGCAAGCCACCCAGAGGAAACACAGACACAGTGCAAGACCACAGGAGCAGCAGGGCCTTCTCGTCCATGAACCTTCCGTGTCGCTCAAAGTAAGTTTCGTTATAAAATGACTTCAGGACCTGCAAAGCATTGCCCCAGGCTCAGTGGGAATACTCACAGCTGTGAGACAAGGGGACGGTGCACAGAGATGTGCCCTGGGATACAACAAACCTGTGGCTTCACTGCTGCTACCTGAGATTCAACACCTGCCACACGAGCCAGTGCTGCGGTGCTGCCAGTTAAGCTGCTGCCTGCATTGCCGGCGTCCCATATTGGAGCACTGGTTTGAGTCCCTGCTGCTCTGCTTCTGATCCAGCTCCCTGCTAATGTGCCTGGGAAGGCAGCAGAAGACGGCCCAAGTACGCCAGCGTGGAAGACCCAGATGGAGCTCTGAGGTCCCGGCTTCAGCTTGGCCCAGCATCTGCCAGTGCAGTCATTTGGGGAATGAACCAGCAGATAGAAGAGTGCTCCCTTGTTCTGTGTGTGAGTGTGTGTGTGTGTGTGTGTGTGTGTGTCTTATCTCCTCCCCCGCCCCCGTCACTCTGCCTTTGAGATAAACAAATACATTGTTTAAAAATTAAACTAAATTTAAAAAGGATCCTTGAAGAATTCATTATTAAAAATCTACACCAAATTGTTAGAAACTCACTTTTCGGAGACTTATTTTCTCAGAGGCAACACAGGAAATATCCTTACTGATTGTGTGACTTTGAGGAATGTATATAACCTTTATTTATTTATTTATTTGAGAGGTAGAGTTACAGACAGTGAGAGAGAGGGAGAGACAGAGAAAGAAAGGTCTTCCTTCCGTTGGTTCACTCCCAGATGACCACAATGGCCAGAGCTGTGCCGATCCGAAGCCAGGAGCCAGGTGCTTCTTCCTGGTCTCCCATGCAGGTGCAGGGCCCAAGCACTTGAGCCATCTTCCACTGCTTTCCCAGGCCATGGCAGAGAGCTGGGTTGGAAGAGGAGCAGCCGAGCCTTGAACCTGCGCCCATACGGGAAACTGGTGCCACAGGCGAGGATTAACCTACTGCACCACAGCGCCCGCCCTGAGGGATGTATATAACCTTTAAATATAAGCCTCAATGTCCTCGTCAGTTCTAGATATATATACATATGCATATACCTCTACATACATAAACGTGTATACATCTCACAGAGAATGTATGAGCTTGGCAAGTGACAAAGCGGTGGTACTTTGCTTGATCAGAGATGCCGTTCTGGAGCAGGCATTTGGCATCAGGACACCCACGTCCCATCGTCAGAGTGCCCCCTCCACTTCCTGTCCAGCTGCCTGCTTACATGCACCTGGGAGACAGCAGGCGACGGCTGAAGTGCTCGAGTCCTGGTACACACATGGGAGACCCAGATGGCTTCAGCCCTGACCCAGCCCTGGCTGTTGTGGGAATTTGGCGCGTGAACCAGCAGATGGGAGATCTCTCAGACCGCTGGTACCTATCCATCTCTCCCTCTCAAATAAATAAAATAAGTGTAAAAATGTTTGAAGGTGTCATATGCCTCTATGCACTTACGTATGTACGTGTGCACACACATACGAGGCTATTCATGTATGTGCGAGCAACCGCAGCAGTACCTCCCACAAACCAGCAGCTATAAATTACGAACATTGATTTAAAAATTTTTTTTATTTACGAACATTGATTTAAAAATTTTTTTTATTTATTTGAAAGGCAGAGTGACCTAGAGGGAGAAACAGAGGGAGAAATCTTCCATCCACAGGTTCACTCCTCAAATGGCTGCAACAGCCAGGTCTGGGACTGGCCAAAAACAGAAGCCATGAACTCTGTCTGAGCCTTGCATGTGGCTGGCAGGAGCCCAAGCACTTGGGCCCTCCTCTGCTGTCTTCCCAGGCGCATCAGTAGGGAGCTGGATTGGAAGCGGAGCAGGTGAGACTGGAACCATTGCTCCAATGTGGGATGCCAGCATTGCCAGCTATGGCTTAACCTGCTGAGCCACAACGCTGGCCCTAACATTATTTTTAAATAGGCAGCAGAAATAACACACCAGGGCTTGGTAACTTTACCGGAATGCTGGGTCCCGGGCCCTCTGCCCCTTGGGATGCTCTCCCTGATGCTGGTCCCATCTGTCCTCATCCCTGGTATTCCCTCTCTAATGCATTCCTCCTGCCAGAACTCACACCTGGCTCCCAACCTGAAAAATCCAGACTGGTCCCCCATCCCCTCCCTGGGCTTTGGCTGTGGCTCCCAGCCCCAGGGCGCACTGTCTGTCTTCTAGACCTGGGCTCATCTCACCCTGTCCTCAGATGCAATCCCATCAGGTTTTCCTCCCCAGCTCTCACCCTGGCTGCCCTGGCCAAGGTCACCCACACCATCAATCAGGTCAAACTCATAGTCACGTCCGAGCCCCGCCCCTCCGGGCCTGCTGCTGAGCTCCCCCCTCCGCCAGGCTTCCGGATGCTCTGCCTCCAGCTCCTCCCCCTCCCAGGACCCCCTCTCTTTTCCCCTTCCCCACCTCAGCCCGTGAATCCCAGAGCTCAGTCCCCGACCCCATGTTCCCCGCCATTGACAGGTGGTCTTCCTGGGCGAGGACAGGGGCTGAGGCCCAGAGAGGCTGGGCAGGGTGTGCCCCTTCCCCACACCCCACGGATGCCCTCCCAGCCAGAGCCGGCCCACCTGGTGTGGCGTGTTCACCACGGCGATGTTGTAGCCATACTGGAAGGCGGAGCCGAAGGCCGCACTCAGGGTCGCCAGCGCCAGGCTGGGCTGGAGCCGCTAAGGGGTGGGGGTGGGGGGGGTGAGGCAGAAGGTCAGGGACGCGTGGGGCCGGGCCTCAGCGCCTCTGGACAGCGTGAGGATGGTGGGAGTTGAAGTTGGGGTGGGAGCCACGAGGTGGCTGGGGGAGGGGAGGGTGCTTAGGAGAAGCTGAATTTGTGGCGACACAAGGCCACCAAAAGACAAAGGCGACACTTCCGGGCAGGAGGAACGCTTGGGGGGCACTGAAAGAATGGGGCTGAGGGGCCGTCTTCAGCGGGTGGGCAGGGAAGGCCACCCCGAGTCGGTGCCCATGGCACTGGGGCTGTGGGAACCTCACGGACAGAGCTGCCGATGGCGCCTTCAGAACAGATTCTGGGAAAACCAGGGCTGCCCCCCAGCCCATGGCTCGGATTTCCATGGTGGCCACAACATGGTGGAGTATAGGGCCCGTAGGCCAGCGTCTGAGGAAGGAGTGGCAGGGCCGGGACGGGGTCTGTGCTGCCTCCCAGTCTGTCCAGAGCCGCGGCCCTGGGCCCTTCCCCGCCTCCTGCTCTTGCACCCCTCACCCCCAGCCGCACCATCAGCTGCCCAGTGCCCGTAGCCCTGAGGCTGGCACAGCCGGTGCTGGCCAGATCAAGGAGGGCAGGGTTCGGGCATTGTTTGGGGCCACCGCTCTGTTACCTTAGGGGTGGGCTCTCTCCAGTGCCGTCCAGTCTCCCGGCATGGCCCTGGAGCTGGACTCAACACTGCCAGGCTGCTGTCTAGAAGTGAGGTTCAGGAGTAGAGGCTTCCCCAGACCCCCATCTCGGGGCTGGCCCCCAGCCCCCTCAGCACTGGAAACACGGGACCTTCACCTCCCCGCAGGTGCCCATGCCTGGTGGGAAAGGAGCGGGGCAGTGACGGTTCCTGAGCTTGGCACTTACCCACGCCCTGGCCTCTTTGCTCTCCATCCTTGTCCAGGCGGGAGGACAGGTGTGCTCTGCCTCCCGGGGGCACCTGAGCCCTGTCCCGTGGGGCCGCCTGCGAGCCTGCCTGGCTCTGTGACCCTTTTGCCCTCTGGACTCTGCCTGTTCTCCCAGCAGCTCCTTATTCTCGGATGGGTCGATAAGCTGCCTGCTGGTGTTTGGCCAGCGATAAGCTGCCTGCCGTTGTTTGGCCAGGAATTCATCTCTGCACCCACCGAGCCCCTGCCCGGGGCTCCCAGATGCAGCAAGGGGAAAACCACGGTCTAGCATCGGCCCCCAGAAATGAGGAGTCTGGGAGACTGAGGCAGGCCAGGGTTTGGACCACAGACGCTCCTCCTGAGTGGTCTCCTGGCTGCACCGGGGTGGTTCTAACTGCAAGACTTGTGAAGAAACCTGCCTTCGTTATTTCCATCACAAATCAGTCTATAAAACATGAAACAAGGCTGCCTCCTTCAGATTCATCTCTATCAGCATTACAAGATAGCGCGACGTAACTAAGTACATCAGGGCAAATCGTGGTCAGAATATCAGGTGCCCCCCGCATGGGAGACCAGGAGAAGCACCTGGCTCCTGGCTTTGCATCAGCGCGATGCGCCGGCCGCAGTGCGCCGGCCATGGTGGCCATTGGAGGGTGAACCAACGGTAAAGAAAGACCTTTCTCTCTGTCTCTCTCTCTCTCACTGTCCACACTCTGCCTGTCAAAAAAAAAAATAAATAAAAAAAAATAAAAAGACGTGCCATGGTGTCAGGTGCATGATGGGAGTGGGAGTGCCCTTCATGGTGACTTTATTATAATGGAGTGGAGGACGCACCCTGCAGCGTGTTGGGTTTTTCCAGTTCTCAGCGATGTGGGGCTTGCGGTCCCCACTACACAGGAAGGCGGACAGGGCCTGGTGCGTGGAAGGCGGGCCGTGGCGTGCTCAGACAGGGAGGGAGTTTGCCTGGTGCACAGGAGGGGACTCGTCCTGTGGGCTGAGCTGAGCTGGCACACGGGTCGGCCACCGCTGTCCTGCCGTGGGTGGGCGGTGGCCGTCCAGGCGCATATTGCCTGCGCTGTCCAGCAGCGGCCAGCATGGTCGGCGGGGGCTGGGAGCAACGGTCCAGCCGGGGGTCAGACCTCAGCGCCTCTCCCTCGCCACCTGCGCCCCCACAGGAGGATGACGACAAAGTTCCTGACCCAGAGGTGAGGTGCACAGCTCCTGAATGCCGCTCATCGTGCGCTTGGAAACGGCTCACGGGGTGGGTCTAGAACAAGCGTCCCACACCACAGGGCCTGCTTTCAGCGCTGCCCCCACTTCCAACCTGCGTCCTGCCGGGGTGCATCCTGGGAGACAGCAGATGATGGCTCAGGTCCTTGGGCCCCTGCCGCCCACCTGGGAGACCCAGAAAGAGTCCCAGGCTCCTGGCTTCAGCCTGGCCTAACCCTGGCTGGTGTGGCCATTTGGGGAGTGAACCAGTGGATAGAAGATCTCTCTTTCTACAGATTGGAGACACACTGTTCCACTAACTCCAGACTGGAACTTCAGGGCCTGCCCCACGTGCTTGTCCAGAGCCAGAAGAGCCTGGTGCGGCCTTCCACCCTCATCCCCAAGCCTCTCTCCCAGTGGGGAAGCAGCACCAGGGTTTGGAGCCCGTAGTGGGTTTGCACAAAGAAGGCATCTTCAGTTTAAGGGACTGAAATGGTCTGTGATTATATTCTTCCTGGATAAGAAAATGTCCTTTTTTTTTTTTTTTTTTGACAGGCAGAGTGGACAGTGAGAGAGAGACAGAGAGAGAAAGGTCTTCCTTTTGCCGTTGGTTCACCCTCCAATGGCCGCCGCGGCCGGTGCGCTGCGCTGATCCGATGGCAGGAGCCAGGAGCCAGGTGCTTTTCCTGGTCTCCCATGGGGTGCAGGGCCCAAGCACTTGGGCCATCCTCCACTGCACTCCCTGGCCACAGCAGAGGGCTGGCCTGGAAGAGGGGCAACTGGGACAGAATCCGGCGCCCCGACCGGGACTAGAACCTGGTGTGCCGGCGTCGCTAGGCGGAGGATTAGCCTAGTAAGCCGCGGCGCCGGCCAGAAAATGTCCTTTTTAAAAAAGTGTCTTTTCTCATTTTGAGCATGGACCGTGGAGACCGCGGGGAAACCTGCCTCCCACTGCTGATTGAGGGTAGGAAGACGCCACCGTGGGGCTGGGGTTCTGCTCCTTCCTCCTCTGCCGACATCGGCAAAACCCACTCTGCCACGCCCCAGTATTCAGAGCGCACTGTGGGCCCCGCAGTGAGCTCGTCCATGGGGCTGAGGCCCGTGGCCCTGCTCACCGCTGACTGCCCTGCCTGGGCCCCTCCCCAGGGACTTCCCACCTCCCTGCGATGCCTCGTTTCTCCTCGGCCATCACTCACCTCCGTAGCCGGATTTACATCTGCTCTTACTGCCAACCTCTGATGTGTGCACATTTATATTTCCTAAGCTACACGTCATGTGCATCACACACATACACACACACACAGAGCAATGGGGCTGGCAGTGACCACAGCACGCTGATGTCCGAATCCTTCTTTGCTGTCTCCACTTCGGGGCTCATCCCCAGCACCTGCCTCCTGCCCTCGCTCCCCCAAAAGTGCTCCCCCCTTGGCCACGAGTCATGGAACCTGATGGAGGCTCCCTTTCTGATCAGCACAGGCTCCTCCGTGTGTCCCCTCTGGGGCATTGGTCCCCTCCTACCCTTTGCCCTCTGCACATGGGACAACCTGATGCTGGCGTGGGGCTGGAACCTGGGCTCGCTTCTGTAGGAAAGGATCTGGCTCCTCACTCCCGGCAGGGATCCCCCCGATTCTCCAGGGCAGCTGGGATGGTTCCCCACGTTGTCAATCAGACAGGAACACTGCAGCCCATTGGACATCACATCTCAGCTGCCTCTTGGAACCCCAGTGTCGGACCAGCACCCCCTCCTCTTCCCTGGCTCCCTCTCTGCTCCTGCTCCACCTGTCCCCCTGGTGTCCCAAGCCCTGGCGACCCTGCCCTGCCCGAGGCTTTGCATCTGGCGTCCCCTGGGCTGGACCACACATCCTTTCCCGCACACCCCTGACGCAGATCTGTTTTGCTTCACCCCACTGCCCACTCCGTGACAACGCTGTGTCACTGCTGCAGCCCGGGGCTGGGAACGGCATCTGGCAAATGTGCTGCTCACCCCACGTTTGCATCCACGCTCTCCTGAGCGCACAGCCACAGGCCAGCTTCCTTGTGGACATCTTTTGCAAGCCCCATGAATGTCTCCATTTCATCGTGTCCAAGAATTACGCTCTTCCCCCGAAACCCACCTCCCTGCTCCCCAGACCACGCCCCACTGGTCCAGTTAGACACCTGCTGGGGTTCCGGACTCCTCCCTTCTGATGGCCACATGGTCCCCAGTCCTGCTGAGCAGCTCCTTGGCTGGGCCTCAGGATTTCTCCCCAGCTGGGCTCCCCTCCCAAGTCCTGTCCTCCCCTCATTACGACCAGGCACTCCCTGAAGCTCACCGCGTGTCCTGTGCACAGGCACAGGGCCCGCTCACCGCGTGTCACGTGCACAGCCGCAGGGCCCGCTCACCGTGTGTCCCGTGCACAGGCGCAGGGCCCGCTCACCACGTGTCCCCATGCACAGGTGCAGGGCCCGCTCACTGTTTGTCCCCGTGCACAGCCGCAGGGCCCGCTCACCGTGTGTCCCGTGCACAGGCGCAGGGCCCGCTCACCGCGTGTCCCGTGCACAGGTGCAGGGCCCACTCACCACGTGTCCCCGTGCACAGGTGCAGGGCCCGCTCACCGTGTGTCCCCATGCACAGGTGCAGGGCCCACTCACCACGTGTCCCCGTGCACAGGCGCAGGGCCCGCTCACCGCGTGTCCCCGTGCACAGGCGCAGGGCCCGCTCACCGCGTGTCCCCGTGCACAGGCGCGGGGCCCGCTCACCGTGTGTCCCGCGCACAGGCGCAGGGCCCGCTCACTGCGTGTCATTCCAGGGCTCACGTGTCCTCAAGGATCGTGCTCGTCCCCTTTCGCTCAGAAACTGATAGGAGGACATAGTGCGTGCCCCTGATCTGAACACACAGATGTAAAAGTCCACGTGATCTAACAGCAGCCTTGCGAGACGCTGCTTACGAGCCCATTCAGCAGAAGCAACCGAGGTAGAGGAAAACCCAACAGCTCGCTTAAGCCTGTGCAGGAAGAGGCAGAACCAAGGGCCCAGCCCAGGGGTGGGTGTCCAGAACCCGGAATTCCAGAGCCCCGCCCCCTCCCGTCCCCGGGGCTGCGGGTGCCCCAAGCTGCCATCCTGCGCGTCCTGACCTTCGGCTTCAGTGCTGAGTCTGGCGCTCTGTCCTCGGCCACACGGCCGAAGGCTGCGGCGGGTTTTACCATGTGCTCCCTCTGGGCCCTCGCTCCTCTGCACTGTGACTCACACCCATGGGATCCCCACTCCACACCCACAAAAGCGGCTCCCAAGTCCCCCTGCTGCCTGCCCCCGTGATGGTCACAGCACACCCGAGTACGTGCAGAGGCACCCGAGGTCAGATGTCCAAGCTCACAGCTGCGGCAGCCTGCGCTCTGCCTTTGCCCTGTCTGTCCTTGAGTGGTGTTTGAGAGCCTTGTCCATGCCAGAACCTGTTCCAGGCACTGGGGACTTGGGGCTGAACCAAACTGGCTGAGCCCCCTGGAAGCTGACAGCCAGGGCTGCCTGAACCAGCAGAGAGCACCCCCCGCACACACACTGTGCAAAAAAAAAAAAAAAAAAAAAAGCGCAGCACATCACAGAGA